TTTTTACAATTCCATCAGCAATTCCTGGACTTTTTTAAGCATTAAAAATTTCATTGTTATATATATCACTGAATAATGACTGTATTTCCATCTCCCAGGTTACAGACAAAATATTAAAACCCTACAGCAAGCCTGAGGGCAGCATTAATGTGTTAATGGTTTGAAAAATGATTCCAATGTCTGCATGCCCTCAGGCCGGGGGCGTTTATTACTAGAGGCCAAGGGGCTCTTGGGATTTCTTTTCCCTGGAGAAGACACGGCTGGAACAGCCCTGGGGGTTGAAGACTGTGGCTGCAGAAAGGATTTCTGCAATTCCAATGCAAAATGGTAGTCCATGTGTTCTGGCATCTCCCACACTGGAACCAGGGAGCTGCACTTGTCACAGGGCAGCTGGTCCTCAGCAGTTAAAAGACCGGAGGTAGATACTGCCTTTGGAGCCACCTCCAGAGATGCAAGAGCTGAAAAGGCAGGCACGGCTGGGCTCTTCTGCATCAGATCCTCCTCTGCAGAGACTGCCTTAGAAGAGTCTAACTTCAATGCTCTGTCACAAACAGGGGCACCCTCTGAATGCTCTGTTGGAAAACAGCTGGGTGACCCTTTAGAGTTGGCCTGTGAGTTTTGCGGAGGAAAAGACACTGAAGAATTATTGAGCTGTTTCTGCTTTAGAAGCAGACTTTTCTGCTTAAAGAAGGGCTCTGTGCCCAATGTCTGACTGGTCTGGAAAAGTAATGGGGGCTTCAGTGGTGACTTGCTCATGGAGGTCTGGGTAACAGTAGTAAGAGATGAACATGAAGCTTCCTTGGCTTTCTGCTTCTCTGCAGCTTTTTGGAAGAATGATTCCAGAGAGGTCGTTGCTTTCTTGATGGGTGTCACCACTGACTCACTTCCCTGGGTCTTAGCGTCTGAACTGGTCACTGGCACCTTTGGCAGAGAACCTGAGTCACTGCTCAGGAAGGCAGTGATATCTGTGCAAGATGCAGGGGCAGAGACAGAGAACTTTGTAGCGCAGAGAAAGAGCATCGTGAGGGGAGGGGACCTGTATAAGAGAGAAGAAGCACAGAGAGCAACAGATCACCGTTTGAAAGTCTCAACTCAGTTCACAAACGACTGGGGTTGTGGGTCAGGCTCCCACAACACTGGAGTGCACCACCATACCTAGCTGAGTGGATTTCTCTAAGTAAAGACCAAAGGCTCCAATTTTAGGGACTCCATACAAATTATAGGTCTCTATGGCCCAGTGATGAATTTTTTTT